GGAAAAAAGCAACCTTCCGCCCACACGCACAAGGCAGATATTTGAAATACAAAAGCTCTGCAATTAGATGCTCAGAAAATAACATAAGGAAGAAGCTATTTGGGAACATGAACGGAAGGGCTGTGTACTTGGGAACAGCTCAAAGAAATCACACAAAAAATGAGAATACTCAGGAAAGAAACAAAAAACCCATTAACAATCATTCCCAACTGAAAACAACCACAAAAAATAGCTATATATGGAGGTGCTAATCCACAGCATTAACGTATCTGATGAGCATCTCAGAGCTGAGTTTCACAAAAATCAATGTCCCTCACCATAGAAGGGAAATGGCAAGGGTCTTTAAGACCAACTTCTCTGCTGTCCACAGCTATTTAATCTTACAGACAGCGGAGAACTGACTCTCTTCCAGTTCTGCCTTAAGAAAGCAAGATTCCTTCTATGCATGTAGAAGAAGTGAGTTCAATTTTTGGGATTTATGCTCAGATAAAAATCGCATTAGCTTCATTAATTATACAGGTATTTTATTAATATATGCCCATGAGAATCCATGAAATTAATCTGTATCATCTAGAGATACTGTGGCAAAGCAGAGAGAAAGACATTTTGAGCAGTCAAAAGAGTCTGAACAGACTTGTCACTCCAGGAATAAAGTTAATTTGAGTTAGACTGAAGTACCTTTCCATTACTGATTAGAAGACAGAGATAAATGCAAGAGAGCAGTGGCCCAAGAAAGAACGTATGGGATATGATACAGAAAACAAAACACTAGGCATAGATGAGAAAGCAGTCTCTAAGGAAGATTCTCAGGGTGAAGAGACACTTCAGAGAAGTCTCTACACCTGGCAGGAGGTCAGGTCAGACCTAGAGATGGCTGTGTATGGCCGTTTTGTCTCTAGGAAACCACTCAACCAAAAATGGACATTTAAAAGAAGCTTATTAAATTGTATTGGAAAAATAAAACAAAAAAAATTGCACCATCCCTGCCAGAACACAAAACAGGATCCACAAGCCACTACTTAATTCTTGCAGTTCCTCCTCAATAAATTCTTTGAAACCGTTTCTAACACACTTTACTCTCCCAGCTCCTATAAAATTGCTTACAGAGCGAGAGCAGTTCAAAACAGCTATTCTTTTAACGCTGATTCCCCTTAAGAACAGGAATTGTAATTTTAAATCTTTCAATAAATAGATAGTGGGTGAAATACCATGATAATAAGTTTTCCCAGGTAGTCTGACAAGAGCTAAATTGGGAAATACTCCACAGTTGCAATGATGACCTTCAAAAAAATCTAGACACACTGCTGGTCTTATTAATTTTAAAGAAAATATTACACCAAAACAAAAAAACCCACCAAAACAATATATAGATGCTGTTCTTGCTTTGCTAAGTGAAAGACAAACAGCTTAAAAAGAATGCATATTCCTATCTGACTTTTATGAAATACGGTAACCTTGCACTTCCAACACTGCAGACTATTGCTTGGGAATGCAGTATGAGCTCATCATTAAAAATGCAAGCTGGAGAAGATGAGCTGCAAGGGAACAATCTGCTAAATTTAAATTCTCCAACTTATCAAAACTGTGAATAGTTATTCAGTACATAGCCAAAATACAGAATATTTTAGCAAGGCATAGTATTTCAAATATGTCAGGTGCCTTTTGTAATGCTGATATCAGCATAATAACTGAGAAAATTATCAACCCCTTATGCTTTAAGACAAAATCAAAGGGGTCCTTTTTGAAAGTATACTAGTATTTATAATCGAAATATTTGCAATGTATGAACTAAGTTATCATGTGAGCAAGGAAGACTACAATAAAAGATGAAAAATGTCACCATGGAGTTGTACTGGACATGGACGAATGATACCAAGCTAGAAATTAAAATGGATAGAATTTGGCAGGCATTGCAGAAAAGAGGAAGATTATTCTTATGCAAAAAGTAATTTAATCTTTTGTCAAAGGCACTGGAAATTTTACCTTTCTAAACATTTTTAGCAGATCAGCTCTTAATGACCCCTGAGCTTCCTTCCTGACAGACACTATCATTGTGTATTTATTTCCCATTAATGAAATTTCAAACTACTCCACTACATGCAATCCAACACCTGGCTGCTTAAATGCTGGACTTTGAACTGGTAATGAGGTAATGATTTTGCATACAATTTTGATGATTAAATACTCCTGATGGATAAGTTTTGGGAAGCTAGGTGTGCAATTTGGTATGTCTTATCAGGTTATTATTAGATAGCCTGAGACATGAGACATAACAGGATGCTATGTTACATTTCACATATCTTGCAAGTTTTTACAGCTACATTAAGAATTTCATCAATCGCACTTACAATAATGGCTAACCTTCCATGTTTATTTGTTAGTTGGAAGGACTTAAACACGATTCCTAGAAACCCACAATGTGAAATCCAGAATGCCCTCGAAGCGAAGTGTAGACATAGTCCATCATTCTTACACGCACTAAGAAAAAAAATAATTACAAATTTCTTGTTGTAATTAAGTTTGGAATTGGGAAGATGAAACTTCACATTTCTTTAAAGGCAGTAAGATGGGTATGTTTAGTATTAGCAGGAAAAATTTTGCTAGCAATAAAGCCACAAAAGTTAACCAAAGAGGCAAATCTTTCTATGTTTATGAATGAAGTACTGACAAAATGCATAAAAATGAACAAAGCCAAGTGCTGCCCACAGTTTTGTCAGACACAAGCAAAGTCCAGCATTCCAGCACGCAGGGGCGTTCTAAGGCAAGAGCACTAAGCAGACTTGGGGAAACATGTTTTGCCTTGTAAAAACTTAGATATCAGAATTCCTTTCCATACTTAGCTTCCACAACAGAGAGATCGCTGTACAGAACAGAGGGCGCAAAAGCAAGTAGAAAAGACATAGATAACGCTTCCCAGACTCTCTGACAAGAGTCTTCCAGAATGCCAAGCAAGCTGCTACCTCTTTCCATCTCAGCTACACTTGCAGAAAACCACCTGCACTGTGAGAACTGGGCTGTCAACCACAGCAAAATGAGTCAGCCCCTGTTTCTGTCAGCACCCAATCCACACAGAAGATCCAGAGGATCCTCTTTTGGAGAGCCTCTAGCTTGCTCATACTCCTTTCCCTGTTTCATAATATGCTTTAGGAATCTGAAGAAGTAAAACTTCCAGTCACAAACTACAAGCATTGGCTGTGTTTTGAAGCCCATAGCTACTACAAATGAAGGTAGATGCCCCAAACTTACTATGAGGCAGAAGGAACGCAAAGGGCAAAGAAGTGAGAAAGAAAGCTCTCTCAAAGAGCTGCCTCATGCCTAAGTGAACTGTTTGTATCATGTCAACAGGAAAGTCTGAAGGATACATCATTGGCCTTTCAGCAAAATCTGAAGGTAACAGCTAGACCAGCCAAATGAATGGGTATTTGAGAAATATATTTGTGCTTTAAATTATCTTGTTAATCGACATCTCTAAGCATACAGAAGCCTGTATACACAGTTTAAATTTAAAGCATTTCAACGTGTTTACCCCATGTGACCTAACTTGTTCTCTGTAAGGAAACAGAAAAAGCTCTCTGTGCAGTGTATGCAGGCATGCAGTCACAGAAGAGCAAACAAGTCAGGTAAAAAAAGCACTGAAACTGCCAAAACTTGAAACGTCCATGAACAATGCACATGATGCCTATTGCATATTACTACAAGCACAAGAACTTCATGCTGTAGCCCAAGGGTGAAATACAAACATAATTCTTCATTTAATTTTTAAAATTATTATAGGGAAAAAATTATTTGAAATACAAAGTTATTTCTCCTCTAGGTTCTTTCCCATCATTTAGCATTAGTGCGAGCCTGTTGCACACACATAAATCCACTGTCAATCTTTACTACGGTGAACAAAAACATAGTAAACTTTACTTCCATGATGGAAGAGACTGCCTTTTTCCCCTCCTACCAGATCTCCCAAAAGCACAGGACTAGCGCTCATTGTAGGACAAAAACGTAACCTGAATTTCTGGACCTCAAGAATTAGAGACAAAACTCACATTTACATTTGGCCTTACCCATACTTGTACGTTTTCACTCTAGTTTCACAATAAAGAACTTCTCATTACTTAAATTTTAATTAAAGGGAAAAAATAATGACATTTGAGCTTGGAATCTAGCTTTGTCAGTACCTCTGATTTCATAACCTTGCAGAAGATTCTGGATGTTTTTCTAGTTGTTTGAGGGTCTACTGATTGAGTCACCTTTAAATCCATAACCTGATATTGTCTAGGGTAAATACATGCAGATCAGAAAGCATGCACCAAAAACATGATCCCTTTGAAATTCTGCTTTTAGATCCAGTAAAACTGAACCTTAGTTTCTTGATAAATCAGGCATCTTATCAAGAAGAATGCACGTTCAGATCTCATGAACAACTGGTTTGGTTTCAATTAAATGCATATGTATCATACATACCTGGTCTGCGGATCGCACATTTTAAGGCTATTTACAGATATCTTCCAGTGAAGACTTTTGTGTTTAGCCCTGCTTTGGGCCTTTTAAATTTGATTTTATTCCAACCACACAGGCAGTTCTTTACTGACCTAGCTGGGTGTGTGCCATGAGATCTGCAAGCACAGTGGCAGCAGCGGTGGCAGTAGCAGTATTGGAAGCAGCAGCAGGTTTCCCTCCTGGATGAGATGAGGTGGAGGATGCAGAGGATGAGGTGGAGGAGCCCTGAATAACCCGGTTAAGCCAGGGCTCTACGTTGGAATGGCTCTGGAACGGAGTGGAGGTGATCCGCCCTTGCCGACGTAACGAGCCCTCATCTTCTGATGCTGACGATGTGTCTGTGATTAAAATAACGATGACAGGCATGTAATGTGGGAATGACCCAAGAGACGGGAACATGAAGTTTTTCCATGTTCTTCACGCAGTGTTCTCATGTGCTACACATGAGATGCATGTATTAAGCAAATGGTATATTCACATGCACAAACTCTGCTCATTGCCATTTTTTAGGTTAATACAATAACTTCTGCACATTATAGCTAGAACACACTTGAAGCAAAGTTTCCTTTACCTCCTGCATTTGAAATGACTCATAAAAGGGTTTTATTTAAGGTACCCAGTCCCTTCACTAACTGTTCTCAGTGAGCATACCATACCTAGTCCACTGAAATAATACTTCTGTTCTGAACAGGTAAATCTGATCTCATCCCACCTAAATAAATTCTATTACATTTTTGCTGGGTTTGTTTCTTGGGTTTTGTTTGTGAATGAGGAGAATTCTTCACTTTTCAATTTTTTGACAAATTTTTTGAGAACTAATTAATTCAAAAAAGCACAGTACTATAAAGTTCAATGAAAGAGTAATTGTATTAATCTAATTAAAAGAAATTTTAAAGCATGTATTTTAACCACACAAACTGATATTAATGAGCACTACATAGAAATGCTCAGTAAAGCATCTTTTCATTCTAGATGTATATTTGTTGCTGTTAGAAGTCTGACAAAGGGCTCCTATTTTGATTACCATTCAGTTCTTTACAACTTCCCAGAAGTTTCCCTTTGGCACTCAATCTTTCCATAGTTATTATCCACTCAATAACAAATAAAAAGGTCTTTCTAAATATCAAGAAAATACATGCCTGTTGATTTTGAGTGAAAAGTAGAAACTTTTGTTACATAAAAAAAACCTTGCCCTCCTAAAGACACTGGTGCATTTTAAGAACTTGATCCTTTATACGCCCCCTACCCAGGAATAAAGGAAAGCTCCTAACACAATGTGTTGCCCATATACCGATAAGGTTCACATCAAGATAGCTTGTGAAGAGTGATTTTAAGTCACACATAATGGCCAGACCAATTAAGAGGTCAGCAAGAGTTGAAAAACAGCTTCTGAAAAAGACAGGGAGTTCATGACTATGGTCCCTTCCAGAAATAGAAATCCTGGGTGATACTGGTGTGGGTTAAATCAGAAATTTTGCAACCTCGATGTTGGCCTTTTCCAGCTCCCCCTCAGTTCCTCTGAACATTCAGCTGTATACAATTCCACATAAATTTTGTTGAAGCCACATTAAAAATCTCCTCCTCATCTTTGGCAACAAATGTCAGTTACCACGTGTTTAATTTTCTGCTTTTCAAGAATATGTGCATTTCCAATAGCTTCAGAATAATAATTGTTTTTAAACAGTTTAAAACCACGAAAATCAGAAATAATTTCCTAAGAAGCCTGTTTAAGTAACTCGATGGCATCTTCAAAGTTAAAATCAGAGCTGTCTTATCACTCGACCATCCCTAGTCCAACATGACAATTTTGAATGAAAACACACAAACAATTGATCTTTGAGGAGATGCAGCTGTGGTGGATCCCCATTCCTGGGGGCATGCCTTCTATGATCTTTCTGGTCTATTGCCACGGTTTTACTTTTTGGCTGCTGACTCCATCTGCTCCTGGAGAGGAGCCAAACCTACCCTTTAGTGCTTGCAACCTTCCCTTTCTTTTAGGCAGAAAGCAAAAATAAACAATTCCAGGAACATGGAACGAGATAGGATTACAAACAGACAGGTTCTGGGGGAAAAAAAAAACTCCAACCCACCACATTAGTGATCTATCATCACTTCAGAGTAAGAAAGAAAACTACGGAAAAAACAGGTTTCTCGAATACATACTCTGATAGCGTCTCCTCATCCAGATCCAAGTTTAATGAAGTCTCTCTAAAATTTCTAAGCTTCAGATGTCTTACATAAGCGGCGACACACACACACACACACACACACACACGCCTTAGATTTAAAATATTGTTTATAAAAATGAAGGATTCTTAATAAAAACATTCTCATATCAAAACTTATTTACAAAAGTAGCAAGGCAACATCAATAACCAGCTCTGGGGCAGTCGCAAGAGTTAATTAGTGGTTCTCAGAGTGCTGTGAGCAGAATGCTATGTACTTGGCTTGCAGCTCTTCCTGGCTGGGAGCTGACCCAAGATAGCCACAGAAACCACCACCCTTTGGACTCAACTTGCATCAAGACTGAAGCTCAAGTTCTAATCACGTGAAATCCGTATGGGAAGGATGAGAGACTTGATGGGACAAAAACAAAAGTACATGAAAATTTTTGGAAGATGACTGATTAAAGCAGTGCCATTACTGCTGGTCAGGAGTTGACTTTGAACTTAACGTTGTGACTAAAATGTGATGCTTCCTTCCTGGTGACTGATGGCAACCGTTTGTAACAACGTTTCAGTTATTAAGAAAGCCTGGTTTTAATTGCATTAACTTCTGCCAACACAAGGATTTCAGGGCAGTGATTTAATGGCTCAATACAACAAAACTAGATGCTTCAATGCTACTTGGATTCTTTGCAACTTCAGATCTTTCCCGCTGAGCTAATTTTGCAAATAAAGGCAGGCCCATAAAAAGACAATTATTGTTGTGAATTTATACAGCTGAAGCAAATCCTCAGAATACTTTTTGAATGGCCTGATCTTCTATGATACAGAATTAATCCAGTGGCCCATTTTTTTATAGAGATAAAGGTATCTCAAAGCAAGCCGCCTTCTCTTAGAAACAGCACGATGGATCCCAGAGACACTTAACTCTTCTTTCAGAATATATTAGTTCGGGTGCTTCTGTAACCTGCTAGAGCCCAGCATGGGTATACTTGTCTTCTCTGCCAACCACTTGGGCAAGCACATTAGAAGACTCCATTCTCCAGCAGCACCAACACACAAAACCACTCACAGAAGCACAGGCAGGATGCAGAAGCACAGGTCACTGATGCACACACAAATACGATGCGGATCCTCCCAGCAGCTGGGCTCGCACAATTGGTCTGCCAAGTAGCTGTCCCTCAATGACAGTCTCCCCAGTTGCTCAAGGCTGCTCTATTTGTTCGTACAAGCAGACTGAGTCAACCACGCCACACACACAGAATATGGAGTCCCTCACCCAGGAGAGGTGTTAGAAATGAAGTATGACAAGAGAAGAAGACAGACTGCAGCACCAGGTGTAGGCCATGGCCAGACAAGAGTACCATTTATACACGACCAGCCCTTTTCAATCCCTCACCCTGCTATTTCCCCCATACTTGTCTTCCCCAATACACCTAAATCTACCCCTTTCCTAGTCTGTGGTTTCTCACCTCAACAAGTATCATGCAGTCCCAGAACACTTTTGCCCATAACATGTCCCATTCCCCTCTGTGACATCCTCACTCAGCCCAGAAGGTGCTCCAGTGTTGACTGGTCTTGATGGGTTTCATGCCTGGACATGAGGGCTGAGGCTCTCCAGGGACAGCTCTGGGAGAGGCCGGGACAAGATGGGCCTTCTCCCGAGTCCTTAACTTGCCCGCTGCTGCCCTCTGTACTGCTCTGAGCTTGTGGAGATGGGTCTGTGACAGGCTGATTGCTCCTGGGGCAGGCTCTGAAACAGCTGGGGCAGGGTATTATTTGGGGCCCCTCACCTGCCACTCTGTGCTTCTGAGAATATATGCAGACTAGCTTTTACCACATAACCTAACATATTACCCACAGCTTCTCAATTTTTTATTTTATAGCATCTCTCAACTCCCGCAGGACTTTGCTCCTTCAGAGCAGCATGCAAAGCCCTGACTCGAGCAGAGTGGACAAAGCAGTAACTGCAAGGACACTGCTTCAAATCTGTCCTGAAGATAACGGTATTTTCATTCTTTCTCAAAAAAAACCAACTAACAAACACCCAAAACCCAAAAAACCTGCAAGGAGATTCCTTCCAGATTTAAAGGATAAGGGAGACAGGAAAATCTAGCTGTCCTCTACTCTCAGCTGAGCTTCTGGATACCAGCTATTTTTTGTACACCAGATTTTAGACAGAACAGCGGCATGTTCTTTTCTTGTTGTGACACACCTCACACCAAGCACATAGTGATTTGTGAGAAATGACAGAAGAAGACAGAGTGTTGCTAAATGAAATGCACTGCTGACTATTCTATCAGAGTTTATTTTGGAGAGTGAGAAGGAATATTGCTCTGAAGAGCTATAAACAGAAACCTCAGGGCCTCTCTCTCCCAGAGCCTCAGTATACAGATGGTCACTATACTGAAATTTTCTCCAGGATTTCACGTTATGCAAGTCACGACAACTTTCACATATCTAACCAACATGTATGGAAGAAAACTCAAGAGCATGAAGTCCTAGAAGAATAAGCTAATCAAAATGCATGATAACTTAATATATCTTATAGGCAAAAACATAAAGGTGAAGAAAGACCATATATAAGACTACAGAATAACCAGTGAACCCACAAAAATAATACACAATAGTGTGTGACTAGCAAAGAAAAGTGGAATTTCCTTTAAGTGGCAAGAAAAGAAAGAAGGAATATAGCCCAAGAAGAGAGCTGTACATCAGACCTGCTCTTTTACAAAAGGGGGATAAGAAACAGAATTGATGGAGAAGGGCACTAGAGGTCAGTGTGCTTCTACTCCCGGACCCACATTAGAAAAGATAAGAGCACATCACTCAAAACTTAAGAGTTTAGGGAAATTCCTCTTTGTATACAAGACACTGTTTCCAAAACACTTGGCTTGCTAGCACAACATGTTATCTGGACAAAGATTTTCTTAACCTCTAGTGAATTCATTGTGAGACAACAGGAAGATTATTTTTTTCCCTAAACTATCTGAACAATTACAGCATATAATTTTCTGAATGTTTTAAATTGGTCACAGTTGAAGCCATCTGATGAGAGTTCTGCAAGCTAATGCAGCAACTTCATGCTCTGGCATTTTCTTCAACCCTTAAAAAAGAATCTTATGCAATACGAAATAAGGTATTTACAGCTCTGACATGCTTGCCAAGATTATCTCCTTCCAAGCGAGACATTACGTAAGAGAACATACTTAATGCATGAAGGGCAACTGCTCACTCTATTATTGCTTTCAAGCCTACCTTTAGCAGCTACAGTATCTCCAGATGAGACACTAAAAATCTTGTGGAAAGACATCAAAGAACAAATCCAACCAACACCTGATTATCAGGAAACACAGCCGTGAATACAGAAGCACTTTATTGCAACATACTTACAACTTAGCAGAACAAAGCATCTGCTCTCTATATTTCGCTATCACGTTTACCTGGCAAGATTTACATATGTTAACTCAATAGATACCTGGAGGTGTGTATGTTTCTACCGAAGAGTGCACAAGAACAGACCGTCTTTTTGAAGGCATGGGCATTTTTCTCTCTTTGTATTTTGCGAGTGCTGCTTGTACTGCTTCCGTGTGGACATCTAGATAGAAAACAAACAAAAAATTAGGTTGAGAGATTAAGTTTAATCATTATTTCTTTCTAAAAACACAGAAAGCATCAGTGCCATCTTTCACAGCTCAGATTCGAAAGCCGAATTGCGTATGATGGCCGTTATGGCTCCAGTCCTGTTCAGCCCCATTGCTCAGCTTGCAGAATCACAAAGTGCGTTGGGTTGGAAGGGACCTTTAGAGGTCATCTAATCCAACCCCCTTGCGGTAAAGCAGGGACATCTTTAACTACATCAGGTTGCTCAGAGCCCCATCAAGCTTGACCTTGTGGTGGGTTCCCTGCTTCAGAGGAAGCCGCACTTCTTGGAGAGCAGAAAGGTCCAAAGCTAAGCTACAGCAACGTGGTTTTCAATTTTGAAGCTGTAACACCTCTGTCAATTGTTTCTCCTTCAAGGGTGTTTAGCAGGACTGAATAAATACACCTGCCTTCCACTCAAATTCAGCTCAGGAGCAATGGTTTCAAAAGTTAAGGGAGAATATAAGCAGGGTCAAGTTGACATATTTTGCTTGTGAAATCACCCTGAAAAGGCTTTGAAAGTACCATTTAGGAAAGAAAACACTGAACATGAATAATGAAGTTACAGAATATCTAGCACATCAGTTCTGAGCTATTTTCATTATTTTAATTTTTTATTGAAATTTCAATGCAGATGCTGTAAATTTGCATTGAACTCCTCATCCTTCAAACTCCACAATGGGAAAGGCAGTGAAAAATGTATACTTGAAGTATACAAGAAAAAAGAATTCAAGTAAGAAAAAACAGGAGGAGACAGCTAAATGTATATGAAGAATTAGGGAAGAGACACAAACTGTTTTCACTTGCCTGAAAGCAAAAACTACCCCTGTATATTCATGGGATATGTTTTAACTTTCTTACTTTTAAGCCAAAAGTGAGATTAAAGAGGAATTTAGTGTTCAATCAAGATCATACTGCAGATTAAAATGAATGTATTCAAGTAATTCTAAACTGCCTTCAGCAGATTTTTCTTTGACATATATATTTCAATGGTGTCAAAAGCTAGAACTTATGTAGAAAGAAAATTCATGAGACGTGAACAGATGTCAAGGAGAAATGAGGCAGCCCAAAAATTCTACTTTAACTTACGACCCAAGATTCAAAATCATGGGAAACAAATACAGCAAGTACATTCTTACACACAGCTACAAAAGGCCCAAAAGCAAGTACTGTGATTACGCATTTGTCTTACCACATTTCTTCTACGTGGAAGCTGCTATACAAGAATTACAGAACGACACTCTTAAATTTGAAAAAAGGATGTATTCTTTCATCTAAGTGTCCATCTAAGGCTGCAAATACATTACAGGCTGATAGACTTGCAGGTATGAAACTTAAGACATGTGACACACAGCCACAAGTAAAGCTCCATAGTTTATGGTCTCTTTTATTCCCAAAGGGAAGAAGAAGACATTAAAAAAAAAAAAAAAAAAAAAAAGAAAGGGTCCATTTCTGGTACCAGTCCTGAACCTGCTTTGGTCATCCTCGGCATAAGGTTCTTCCTAATTTATTTTAAATATGCTGATCCAATTAGCTTCAACAAAGGAAGAGAGAGCTCCGGGGAAAGCTAATCAGTATATATTTTAATGAAAATCGGAACAGATTTTTGAGCATCCCAGAGAAGGAAAGGCAATGAAATGGCAAAGAACAGCACATCGATGTGAACCTGTAGGAATTCTTGGCATGGAACACTTTACAAAGGCAGCTGTGTCCCAGTGCATTGGATAAACATCTGCTACTTGGGGACAACTATTCAATTCTCCGTTTCAAAAACAGCTTGTGAATTCTGCTCGTAAACTCAGAATCACAACCTTGCCAGTTTATTTGGATTTGGTTTTTTAATATGATCTTGAAGAGGGGATTGAATGTACCCTCAGCA